AAAACATTATGGAATTACAACAAGAAGGTTGGAGCTTGACAAATTTTGGTGAACTATTTCGTCAGGTAAAGATGGTGAATAATTTCAATATTGACCACGACCCTTCCATGGAACGCAGCCATAAGATGGTCCGAGGAATCAACTAGGTATTGTTTCCCTATCAGGAAATGCTTACAGAACTTAAAGCCAAGAGGAAACAACTACCAATCAACATATTTATCAAGAATGAACCAGCTACTACCGCTGCCGCTCCACCCTCCTCTTCCCAACCACCCGCCTCCCGGCCACGCGCCACTCCACCAACCACCACTGGTTCACCCTCTTTCACCAGTGATCTTGATGATCAACCACAATCTACCCCCCCCCAAGTCAACCACAATCTACCCTCCCTGAGTCAACCACAATCTATCCCCCCGAGTCAACCACAATCTACCCCCCGAGTCAACCACAATCTACCCCACCCCGAGTCAACCACAATCTACCCCACCCCGGGTAACCACAATCTACCCCGAGTCAACCACAATCCTACCCTGGAGTCAACCTACAATCTACCCCCGAGTCAACCACAATCTCTCCTCCTCTGAGTCAACCACAATCTACCCCGGGATCCAACCACAATCTACTCCCCGAGGTCAACCACAATCTACCCCCTGGAGTCCAGCCACAACCTACCCCGGAGTCAACCCACAATCTCTCCTCCTCTGGAGTCAACCACAATCTACCCCGGAGTCAACCACAATCTACTCCCCCACTGAGTCAACCAATCACCTACCCTGAATCAACCACAATCTCCTTTAGTATATAATCATCTCTTGTGTTCATGTACGAGTTGACACTTACCCCTCCCCAGCCACACACACACAGAGAGAGAGAGAGAGAGAGAGAGAGAGAGAGAGAGAGAGAGAGAGAGAGAGAGAGAGAGAGAGAGAGAGAGAGAGAGAGAGAGGAGAGAGAGAGAGAGAGAGAGAGAGAGAGAGAGAGAGAGAGAGAGAGAGAGAGAGAGAGAGAGAGAGAGAGAGAGAGAGAGAGAGAGAGAGAGAGAGAGAGAGAGAGAGAGAGAGAGAGAGAGAGAGAGAGAGAGAGAGAGAGAGAGAGAGAGAGAGAGAGAGAGAGAGAGAGAGAGAGAGAGAGAGAGAGAGAGAGAGAGAGAGAGAGAGAGAGAGAGGAGAGAGAGAGAGAGAGAGAGAGAGAGAGAGAGAGAGAGGAGAGAGAGAGAGAGAGAGAGAGAGAGAGAGAGAGAGAGAGAGAGAGAGAGAGAGAGAGAGAGAGAGAGAGAGGGAGAGAGAGAGAGAGAGAGAGAGAGAGAGAGAGAGAGAGAGAGAGAGAGAGAGAGAGAGAGAGAGAGAGAGAGAGAGAGAGAGAGAGAGAGAGAGAGAGAGAGAGGAGAGAGAGAGAGAGAGAGAGAGAGAGAGAGAGAGAGAGAGAGAGAGAGAGAGAGAGAGAGAGAGAGAGAGAGAGAGAGAGAGAGAGAGAGAGAGAGAGAGAGAGAGAGAGAGAGAGAGAGAGAGAGAGAGAGAGAGAGAGAGAGAGAGAGAGAGAGAGAGAGAGAGAGAGAGAGAGGAGGAGAGAGAGAGAGAGGAGAGAGAGAGAGAGAGAGAGAGAGAGAGAGAGAGAGAGAGAGGAGAGAGAGAGAGAGAGAGAGAGAGAGAGAGAGAGAGAGAGAGAGAGAGAGAGAGAGAGGAGAGAGAGAGAGAGAGAGAGAGAGAGAGGAGAGAGAGAGAGAGGAGAGAGAGAGAGAGAGAGAGAGAGAGAGAGGAGAGAGAGGAGAGAGAGAGAGAGAGAGAGAGAGAGAGAGAGAGAGAGAGAGAGAGAGAGAGAGAGAGAGAGAGAGAGAGAGAGAGAGAGGAGAGAGAGAGAGAGAGAGAGAGAGAGAGAGAGAGAGAGAGAGAGAGAGAGAGAGAGAGAGAGAGAGAGAGAGAGAGAGAGAGAGAGAGAGAGAGAGAGAGAGAGAGAGAGAGAGAGAGAGAGGAGAGAGAGAGAGAGAGAGAGAGAGAGAGAGAGAGAGAGAGAGAGAGAGGAGAGAGAGAGAGAGAGAGAGAGAGAGAGAGGAGAGAGAGAGAGAGAGAGAGAGAGAGAGAGAGAGAGAGAGGAGAGAGAGAGAGGAGAGAGAGAGAGAGAGAGAGAGAGAGAGAGAGAGAGAGAGAGAGAGGAGAGAGAGAGAGAGAGAGAGAGAGAGAGAGAGAGAGAGAGAGAGAGAGAGAGAGAGAGAGAGAGAGAGAGAGAGAGAGAGAGAGAGAGAGAGAGAGAGAGAGGAGAGAGAGAGAGAGAGAGAGAGAGAGAGAGAGAGAGGAGAGAGAGAGAGAGAGAGAGAGAGGAGAGAGAGAGAGAGAGAGAGAGAGAGAGAGAGAGAGAGAGAGAGGAGGAGAGAGAGAGAGAGAGAGAGGAGAGAGAGAGAGAGAGAGAGAGAGAGAGAGAGAGAGAGAGAGAGCTCAAGGGATAGAACCGCATTTACTTCACCACCACTTACTACTACCACGACTTCTATCCACTAATTATCAAGACCACCACGATTACTACCACGACTATCACCACTACTATCAAGACCACCACAACTCACTACCACGACCACCACTGCTACATCCACTACTATCACCACTACTACCACTACTACTAATGACTACTACCACGACCAATTACGACTACTACCACGACCACTACTAACATTACTACCACGACAACTATCACTATTACTCACCACTAATACTACTACAGCTCCTACCATTACTCCTAATAACCACTACCACATTATTACTATCGCGACTATTAATTTTACTACTAGGAGATTTATGTGAAAAGAAAGGCAAACTGTGCAGTCTAAATTTAACATATATTTTAAGAAGTCCCCACTGCTGTCTCCTCACGCCCCACCACTGCTGCCTCTTCACTCCCTAAAGATGATCCAATACCTTCAACAAGCAAGTATGTTAGCCTGTCTGAAGAAAGCAAAATTGATGACCCACCCAGCCCTGTCTCCTCCTCTGCTGCATCCAATTAATGTAGTCTCCATGTTTAATTAAAAAATTATTGAGACCCCGTAGCATTCAGCTGACTACACTAAAGTTTCAGTGCACAGTAACACTACTAATTTTTCTATTATTATTACTTTTACTGTACCGTATTTCATTTTAGATTTTCTATGTATTATTTTCTCATTTTCGACTTATTACCTGGTCGTCAGTCTGGAACCCCGTCGTAAGTCGAGGACTGACTGTACTTTAGTTCTGCACGGATGTATGGATGATTCAAACAGAGAGAGTTACTCCTGAAAGAGTTTCTTCATTATATTCTTCTTGAGCAAGAAATTGCAAATTTTGGCAGATGTTTCACGCCTCCCCTGTACCCACTTTGCACCCCAAGGGGGGGTGTGCCCCCCAGTTTGGGAACCACTGCACTAGACCAGGGGTGTCAAACATGCGGCCCGATTAACACTCTTGCATGCGGACCGCAGCCCATTTGCTGCTCCAGCCTTACCTTGAGGAGCTAAAACTAAATAGTGAGTGTATCCCTCAGCTGAATAAAATAGTCCGCTGTTTCCAAGAACAATATATTCAATCAACATCACCAATGAACTCCAGTGTGATTCTGTGTTGAGGAACAAGTTTTCGAGTGTTGATGTTGTAACATTTTATCAATATTTACCAAATTCGAATTAAATGTTTTGCCAGAAAGTGTCAATGTTCAGAAGTACATATGTCTGTGAACAACTCTTTTTCTGTGATGAACTTGAACAAGTCTCGGCCGGGTCTCAACTTACTGATGAGCACCTTTCAATACTGAAGGTTGCTTCAGCTCAGTCTTTAGTGCCAAACTTTGATGCACTGGTTCATATCAAGAGGTGCCAATTATCAGAAGCAGCAGTAGCAAACAATAAGATTGATCAAGGTAAGTAAACCTTGATTTGTTTGTTGTATGTTTGCATTTGTATGGGACTAAATCCACCTTTCTTATTTTGTCGTACTACTAACCTGAGAGGTGATTGCAAGTGCTCATAATGTTACTTGGCCTGCATACTGTGTACTCATTAAATCTGGCCCTTCTTCCAGAGTTTGACACCCCTGCACACCAACTGTCACAATACATCACCACTTCTCCTCCCTCCCCATCTTCCCAGCTAGGGTGTGGTTTTTTAGGCTTAAAGTTTATAACTTATAAAATATCACAGACTAAAGTTAGGAGAATATAATTGCTAGAATCCTTGCAAGACAGCGATTTTTTTTTAATATAAACTCGTATACTTTGCACAAGAGATAAAAATTTTAGTACAATAGTGTAGTACATTTTAGTAACGTACAAGTTTTTCAACTGTATTTTTGGGTAGATTTACATAGCTTTCTCCATTTATTTTACCGCTACATGCACACACCATCCTAAAAAAAAGTAAACTAAATAATTGTATTAAGTGCAAACCTGTACTATACTCAAATGTACTAAATAATTTTAAAAATTTCTTCTGTCGAGTGCAAACCAAACTATAGCATGTTTATATTCAAATTAATCTCTATCTTACAAGAATCCCAGCAATGTAAGTTTTATTCTCCCAGGTCAGCTCAGTGACATTTTATAAGAGAAAAACTTAGTCAATCTAAAGGACAGGTAAATAAATACAGTACTACCCACTAAACGTTCGGTGTCAACTGTCACAATTCACCTCACCTCCCTCCTCCCTCCCTCCCCCATCTTCCCAACCAGTTCTAGTGTATATGTACGTATATGTAGTGATTTAAGGGCGATTTAGGGGACTTTTAAGAGTGTTTCTCATCTTCCGAGTTTTTTGGGTTCACGCGAGGTCCCAGGAACATAACCCCTGCGTAAGTTAAGCAGTCTACTGTACTAGGTATTTTAATTTTCAAAACAACTTTGTATTAATCACAATACAGTACTGTATAGCACATACAGGTATATTAGCCTAATGGATTATTAATATTTAAACAATGTATCTTTATATTTATGAGAGCAGAAACCAATATCCTGATCAACACCATACGGTAACTATCACTCACTCAAAGAATGGTCGACCTTCATGTTCTTGATAGAAAGCTGCTGCCTGGCTCCTCAACAGCTGAACCATTTTCATCTGACTAATTTCGAAGTCTCGACTCTGGATGACATCTATGACTTCCCCTAATCTATGTACAGCATCAGGTTTCACCATTGCAAATGTTCTGAAAATTTCAAAGACAAGCGATAATTAGTGTGGTATTATTTTTCATTTACAGTAGAAACAAGAATGATACAAATTGTTTGATGTGAAAAATACTTACCAGTAGTATTTGTCCATATAAGTCAATTTCAGAATGAGTTGGTGATCTTTAAAAAATTAGAGGCTTACTCCTCAAATTACTAATTTCTGGGTAAGCTCATATATTAATATGAAAGCCATTCGGGGTGAGGTAGGAATGGAGATCAGTAAGAGAAAACTTCCCTCTATCTGGCAGCTGGAAGGTTGCAACTATCTCCCTAAAATATGTAGATTAGATTCAAAAGACACCCTCCAAAGCCAGTTCTACCTAGTCAGTACATTCATCATGGCTTACAAATTGATTTTGGAGTTAACGAACAGTCGCGAACAAAATTCCCTTTACAAACCCTAAACATTTGTGGGGGAGACGAGGCTTCGAATCGCATGAGGTGAGCTGCTATCTAGTTTAGGGCAGCTAACAACGAAAGGAACTGAAGCTCCACTTTGTCTTTGCATGTGGCACTACTGAATATAACTAAAAAGCAGGGTTGTAAAAAGTACAGAAAAGCCTAGAATAACGATGGTAATGTGTCCTCCAATAATACAGTGTAAGGTGAATCATTGTATCGTGAATCATCAATTACCATTAAAATAAAGAAATGATAATGAGATGCATTCCCAAATGTGACCTTTTCATATCTTTTATGTGGCTTTTTACTCTCTTTCCCCAAAACAATACAATTAATGAAAAATGCAAACTATATTCTTTAAGTAATGTTTATGAATGCACCTTATACAATATAAATGAATAATAATATGGTCGAACAAGAGGAAATGGAACGCCATTGTTTTCGTTAGTGTTTACAGCCGGGAGTCCGGGACGATGGTTTTACATACGAAAATGAAAAAATAAGACCCTGGTTGTAGCTGTAGTAAAATTAATGTAAAAAAATGGATATCTGTTTTAAGTAATGTTATTTAATGTTAATAAATGGAACAATAGAAGTAACTAACCACTAATGGCAAAGAAAAAAGCGAGATGGATTGGGAACGCCAAAATATACGTATGACCTCAAGGAAACATAGCGTCATTTATCTTATTAAGAATACTGTATATACCAAAGATCATTATAGTTTATTACTGAATATGTATTTGATTGAATTAATCTATATCACGTTTCGTTTTACACTTTCTGAACACAGAATGCTCGCTTCCGTTGTGTGTACCCTTTTACGTGAGCGGCTGGCGGATATCTCGCGCCGCGCCATTTTTGATCCAAACCTCCGCCATGTTGTGTGGCAATGGTTGCTGGATGCGCAGTGTATGTCTTTGTTGCGTTATCGGTAGCGTCATATGGCGTGTCCGGACTGTGATTGGGCAAAAGCATCCTTACCTCCCTCCCGCTAGCTGTGATTGGTTTAATGTTCTATGGCGTGCCCCGCCCAGCGAGGCGTTCAACCACTTGACTTACCCGCGTCAGTTACACCTCCGGCTACACCGTGTATGCTCGGTATCCATTGTTCCGCCAGAATGGGGTCCCTGGAGCTGCCACCACAGAAACCTTGCATTACCTGGAACCAGCCACCCTAAGCCAAAGTCTTGACGTTCATAGATACGAAATTAAATATAGATCATGCAAAGAGTTGGAGAAAAGGAACAAGACAGGTTGATCTAGTGCGCCCAGCATAGTGTTAACGAGTCTGATCAAGACATTAAGAGGATGCAGCCAAGATAAAGGAGCATAGACATCACAAAGTCTGAGCACTTCTATGATCAAATATTTCCACAACCAGGTGCTTCTCAAAAGCCGGAAGAAGAATGCCGAGCTACTTGGTTCATCAAGTATGACGGAACATGGCGGTGGACAGCGCTCAGCTAAGGAGTATACGTGAACTGTATGCTGCAGTGTCTGAAAGATAGAGGTACAGAGCCCAAACCCTTTAATGCTTCCTCTGGGTGGTTACAGAGATTTAAGAAGAGGAACAAGATCCTGTATCAACAGTCGGTGAAGAAGCTAGAGTGTTGACCGTGTTAGCGACAAGGGAAATTCCTCGAATTTTACGATGAGATTATGGAGGAAGGACAGTACACGGCGACCGGAGTGTTTAACATGGACAGATCTGGTCTTTTTTGGAAAAAGCTACCTTCCAAGACCTTGCCGTTGTGAAGAATGCCAGCAAGTGTCGGGGCGAGGAAGCGCGCTGCAGAAGGGCAGCATCACTGTCTGTTTTACCACCAATGCCTCCGGTACCCTGTAGCTCAGGATTATCGGTAATCCACACAGCCGCATAAAGCCACTGCATACAAACGTTTAGTAAGCTAAATGTCCACTGGCTGGCACCACTTGCGTGAAGCGTGGATGTCCCTCTTTTCTGTCCCTCTTCTGGTTTGACTGACTGTTTTTGTTTCTGGCGTGCAGAAATTATGCGACAACAGAATGTTATTCCAACATTTTGTTGCTCCTTGACTAACGCTACCCTGGACACTTTCGCCCTGCTTATGGATCGTCACTAGCGTAAAGTGGTCTTCCTTCCTCCCAACACTAAAATCTTAATCCAGCCCATGGGCCAAGGGTGATCTGTAATGTAAAAGCTGCATTCTCTGCCAGAAATTCAGAAAGCTCCTGAACGACTACACCAACACCAAGGAAGGATTGCATAACCTGAGTGACACCAGCACCGATAGCAAAAAAGGCGAGGCGGCGAGGATCAACAGTTGGCAGAGCAAAAGTACTTTTGAAACAATTTTGGAGAACATTCGCGTCAAAGCTGTGGACTTGAGGAGGCATGGGATCAGCTGTGTGTAGCAACTGTTCGTCCTTGTGGAGACATGTGTTTGGTATTCGGTGTTAGGCAGAGTAAATCTGTGACTGGTGAGGTTCGGAGCTGTTGCGAGTAGCAGTGGATATGCCAAGAAGCTCGCAGAGTGTTACAGCTGCAGGCTTCTCCGAGACCACCAAGCAACCGACATCCTGGAGGTGATAAGGGATCCTGATGTGACTACCGACGAGATGGTAGATGATGATGGCGTCGAGTGAAGGCAGGTGGAGGCGTCATCCCAAAAAACGCCAGTTATCCATAATAATGTAAGGGGTGCCATCGAGTGTATTGAGAAAGTCAATGTCCTCCTTTCACGGCGACCCTGGCGCTAACAGGTATAAAATCTTCACTACCAGCTGTTTGCAGACTATGGAGCCCCATCAAGGCTTTATCACGACAACATAAACGCCAGCCGTTAGCAAAGCATAACAGAGGTTTTTCGCCATAACCCACCACAACCAGCCCAAAGCCAGTGATAGTGACAGGGCAGTGATGATGACTTTGAGGTTTGTCAGGGAGGCACTAAGTAAGTGTGGATGACAGCGATGAAGACTCACCTGAGGGCCAGTAGCCTGCCCTCTGCCTCGGAACCAGCCTCTCCATTCCCCCTACGCTTCGACCCATCTCTCTTCTACTAGCGTGAAGTGTTAACCCCTAACCTTGTTTTCTTCTAACCTAACCTTCAATTATATTCTCTTATTGATTACTTTTTCTTCTATATTGCGTGTGTGTGAATACCATCATAAAGTTAAGATGTTATTTTAGTAAAAGCGTCGTATTGTGTCGGGAAAAAGTGGAGTTTGGGGGTCGGCCCGGTCTCTATTTCAATTAATCCCATATGTTATGTTGTTCACTTTACGCGTTTCTCACTTTCTGCGGGCCGCCCTGGGTTCAATTAACCGCGTAAAGTGAGGGTTCAATGTACTGTATATAATATTAAAAAAAATTTAAAATTATAATTTGTTTGGTGTGGATTTCTTGGTGTTTGCTACCGTCAAGAGTCACTCCATTGTTTACATCCAGTGTGCACACATGTTTCTCGCCTCAGCAGTTGGATTTAACTTTACAAACATACAGTAAGTACAGTACAGTGCATTACCCTTATTCAAGATGACTGGAAAGAGTGACCGCAGTAGTGCAAAAAGAAGCCGCAAAGGCATTACACTGGATATTAAACTACGTTTTAAAAAGGTTTATCATAAATTATTTATTGTACTGTATCGTATGTGTTTATAATTGTTTATTTTCATTCATAAAAGTGCTTGTGAATCGTCTGCTTGTGCTATTAACCAGTCCGTTCACATATATTTATATTTGGGTTTTAAGTAACGAAACCCAAACAGTAGTTCCTTTGTTTTATTATAAAAGGTTGTATATATAATTCCTGAGTGTAGATCAACCGTAAGTCTCACTGTCTAGGAGTGAATGAGAAGGGGCGGCGTTTATGTATTATAGCGTTAGGTCACGTCCTTACGATATAAGTTGAGGTGAGCTACTGACTGTGAGGACCTAGAGTCGGGTTTTACAGAAAATGCTGAGCTATGGGTCTCGCCCTCTTGGGAGAGTTGCCCGCTCACGTGTCCAACTCATGTCTTACTCATAGACAGTGGAAAGTTACAGGGTGGTGAATCCGAATATAATATCAGATGTATTGACCCATTTATATAATATGTTCTGTTGATGAGACAGGGGCCTATTCACCTTAAATTACTTTTGGGGGCGAAAAAATATTCCTTAGGAACGCATCTCCAGTTTTATAATGGAAGGCAATGGGAAAATAGGTTTTGCATTACAGAATTTCGTGATAAGGTCAGTTTTCCAGGGACTTAACCCTTCATGTGGGGATGCCTGTAAAGGGAAAATGCTTATAAATAAAAATCACTAAAGAATTAAAAAATTAGGCCGCAGCCATTACTGGCATCTGAAAAAAGGCAGCAGCCAAACGTTACAATACTAGGCTAAACAGACGAGGAAAACTGTTGGACCCTCTCCACTTCTTTGGAGAAATCGTGAGTTATAAGGTACAGTACAGGTTGTACCTCTCTAGTCCGGCATTCTGTGGTCCGGAAACTCCCGTGGTCCGGAACGATTTTAGTTTGTCCAATAGGTAGATAAGCAGCTTTTTTTTTTTTTTTTTACTTATCTGAATTATTATTATTATTA